GTCACCTAACCCCTTCCACGAACTGATCAAGCTCCAGCCTTCGCTGAAGCCCGCAGCCCAGAGGAGCCATCAGGGTCCTGGCATGTATGCCACACTGTGCCGAGGCTGGCAGCCGTCTTTTGAAGTCATTGCAACTCAAGGGGGAACGTACCCTTTTCAGGAAAGCCAGCTTTTCAATTAAGCCATGCATTTTTATGATCTGAGAGGAGTGATTTCATGCTCCTGTCAATAACCCGCACTCAATGTGCTGTTATGACCTTTATTACTTATTTTTCTTTTGTATTATTTCCATTTCATAATGGCGATATGGCACTCCGTGTGCTCCATGTCCGGGGAATTATCGCTCTCCCTAAGTAGCTGAAGTCATTGTGACTTTGGCCTTGTGCCTCGCAATCCACCTGAGCCTTGCGGTAATTCCCCTTGACTTGCTTCAGAGGGCGTTTCAGTGCATACGCAGTGCCCAGGTACCCATGCTTTTAGTCTCGTTTACAAGCATGCGCTTTGCCATCTCCGACACCCTGCCATTTCCTACGGACAGTTGGGTGATTGCACGGTCCGAGCATAGCAAGTGCTTTTGCTCTTGCTAACGTTGTCCCTTCAGGTTTCAGTGCATTGTTTCCCCACCTCTTCCGTTGTGCATTGCTAAATAGCTTTGGTGCGTCACCCCAGTGATGGCTGCATTTAGTGCTACATGAAGTAGCCTCAAGGTATAATTTTTATTTCCCCCTCTAACCACCTCACCTCTTCTGGATGTTTTTAAGTGTGCGCGTTGCATCCGTAGTGCTTTGACGTGGTCCTTTTCACTGCGCCGTGGCCTCTTTTGAGGTGCTAAAAGGGTCTCCTCGGGATTCCCCATTGGGGGTGCATATTCCAGTACACCAAGCGTCACCGCTGTTATGGTCATAAGAACAATGTGTGCTAGTCTGCGCCCCCAGCCCCTCTCCATTCGTCTTCTTGAAAATAGCCTTGGAAAGGTTTCATTGCATTTTTTTGCAACCCTCTTCCCCCCCAGTGAAAGCCGCGTTTTAGGCAGGGGCGTGCATAACAACAAGCGACCCAGGCCGTTAACTTTGCTGGGAATAAGAAAGCCGTGCGCTTGCACGGCCATGCCTCCCTTCTGCTCAGCTGACCGCATCAGTTCTTGTGAGCACGCTTGAACGTTTCCTCCTCTCTGAAGTAGTAGGAATTTACTCCGGGGGCTGCTTGCTGGGATTTTGAGATTCCCTTTGGGGAGGAATATTTTAAAACAGAGAATTGCTGGGGGGAGTCAGGGGAGGATGTTTTGGGGCCTGTGGGAAGCGTCTCGGTGACCACGGGGGCTCCTATGGGAGGCGGAGAGGTTCTCGGCTTCGCTGCTGCTCGCTCCGACGCACCAATGCAAAGGTGGCAAGAATAAAAAAGAAACGGGTCTTTTTGCCAGTTGGCTCAATAAATATGAAGCAAGTGTCATGCCCCTTATAGGAGCAGGACCGTGTGCACGCGATCTCCTCTTGTGCCGCTGTTCTGAGATTCCTCTGTGAAGCAGCCCTTGGCATGGGAGGTTTTGCACAGGCACCTGCAATACCCTCTAATCAGAGAAGAGTATCCTGCCCCTGCTGACCGCGTGCGAGGCACGAGGAATCAGAAGAGGGAAGAGGAATGACTTTTTTTATTTCTTTTTTTGAGGGACTGAATAGAAGAGAGGGTGCAGGTGAGCAGGCCGGCTCAGCGTGAGAGGACCTGGCCTTGGCTGCAGCGTGCGCAAAGGCACGGGCCCGGGAGGCGCTTTGTGGTCTTTGATGGAAGCTGTTCTTGGTGCTCTCGAGAATGAAAGCGGGAAGTTTCCCCTAATCTCAGTGGCCTGTTGAAAGAAACTTTTTTTTTTGTTTAAAAAATGTAAAGCGTCAGCCACCTTAATACGTGCTCCGTGTGCAGAGAGAGCCCGCAGCGCGGTTTTTATCAGGATGGCCATGAATTTGTTCCTGCCATTTTTGCATCACCGAGCAGTGAGTGAATGAGCTGTGAGAGGCGCCCGGGAGAAGTGGGTTCTCGTCCCGGCTTGGCTGCAGGCAGGTCATTTGGGCCCGTCTTTGGTGGGGCTGTTGTCACGTATTACTGACAGGACAAGGAGCAATGGGCTCAGGCTGCAGCAAGGGAAGTCGAGGTTGGATATTAGGAAAAACTTTCTCACTAGGAAGGTCGTAAAGCACTGGACCAGGCTACCCGGAGAGGTGGTGCAGTCTCCATCCTTGCAGGTTTTGAAGACCTGGCTAAACCAACCTTTGGCTGGGATGATGCAGTTGGGGCTGGTCTTGCTTGGAGCAGGGGTTGGACTGGATGTGACCTCCTGAGCTCCCTTCCACCCTCATTGTCTACGATTCTATATATGCTTATTTTATAGCACTGGAAAAGAGCCCTGGTTTAGATGACACGCATGTCTACCTTTCCTTGGCCTGCCAGCCCAGAGAACCTAACGCTAGCATCATGCAAGTTAGAAGATAATGGCACAAGTGCCAGCTGGTAAGACAGCAAAGGTCTCATCTTACTTCAGCCTTGAAATAGTGGCTTAAAAAGAAAATCCACATTGCACTTCTCATTTTTTTGTATGCTAGTAACTGGGACCCCGAAGAGACTCGTGCAGTGATGCTGCTGGGTGCTGAATGTGCCTACCGTCGCATACAATCTGTATCTGGAGGGCTTCCTGGTCTCAGGAATTGCTGGCTTAATATGTGCCTTGCTCAGATGTAGGGCTGTTGTGTCCTGGCAGAGAGCTGGAAACCGTGTTGCTGAAGAACAATGTCATCCGTGACATCACGTGTATTGGATCCCGGTGACAGAGAAGGAAAATGGGTTCCCATTTGGCCGTAACACACATTAAGCAAATGTGAAAGGAACATTATGGTTTAAAAATTAAATACTTAGTTAAATAATTAAACATGAATAATTTTTGTGCAAATGGAGCTGGGAGATGCAGGTTGCCAGGCTGACACAGTTCAAAGCCGTTGCGCTGCAGAGTGTCAGTGACCTGTGAACGTAGAGGCTGTTCGTTACTTTTATCACGTTGTTAATAATGCCCTGGAGGAAGAGGGACCCGGAGCGATGGAGATGTTTAGCATAAAAAAGAATTAAGCACCTGTCTGCAATGAGACTCCTTTTAACTTGTTAATTTACATAGTTACCGGGGGATATGTGAATATATCACTTCTTATATCGGTTACGTGCAAAAATACTGAAATGTCTTTTTAATAAGACGTATAGACAGTTCTGCCATCGCTGCGAGTCAGTCCATCAGCAGAGGCTCTCTTTAAGGGCTGTGTTTGCTCGGTGTAGGGGATGTGTTCAGATCTGATCCACTGACCCTGGACAGAAGATTGGGATAAGGATATAATTTGACTCGGGAACACATTTGCCACCTTCAGAGGTGAATAGGAATTTTTCTAGTAGAGGGGGTTGGGAATTACTCGGTGAAATGCTTTTTCCATTGGAAAATGAGGATTTGTGGAAATAACTTGTCCGAGACACGTACTGGTCTCAATGAAACTTCTCTTGGAGAGGTTTCTTGGTGTCACAACAGGAGACTCTCCACCCTGATGGCTGCCATCACACTTACCTGCCCCATGACAGCTTCATGTTCAACTTCTTGCTCTGCCTTGGGTCTCACGTGATCGGAGGGGGAGTCCTGACCGCTAGGTCATTGGCTGGTCCCTTCTCTGGTCTTCTTTCACCTTTTTTATATGGGCATGGCTTCTTCTTGACCTGGGATGGGAAACTTCTTTGGTCATCCAAGCATGCACGTATTTCATAGTTTCATAGCTGTTAGGGGCTGGAAGGGACCTTACAGACCATCGGGTCCAGCCCCCTGTACTTGGGCAGGATAGACTGCTGGGATCAGATGGGCCCAGCAATTGGGTGTCAACGTTTGGCCCCACACACACGTTTA